CACTATGCCCGTTTCTGCAATATCTGAATATATGAGCCTATTTGTTTGAATTTAATAACTAATGTTACATGATGCATTTCAGTTTTGAATATTTTTTTTGCAACCCAAGCTCATTCTGAAAACGTAGCCCCGCGGAAGTTTCTGAAGACCGCAATTTACGTGGCCGGAGGTACGTATGGCCGCGTTTTGTTTTTTTCGAGCGAACGCTGCGGGGCTGTGGGACGCCGCTCTGCTCCTCCTCTTTGCACTCGCCGGCTGACGGCTCGCCTCCGTGTGGAGGGCTTTCCCGCTGCAACCAGTTTATCCGCTTAGCTCGCAGTGTTACCTCAGCGGAGCGGAGGCCCGGAGGAGGAGGAGCCGGCCGCGGGGACGACCGGGATCGGGTCCGGGGAAGAGCGGTTCCAGAAATCAGGTAAGATAAAAAACAGAATCCAAAAAACAAGGGCGAGAACGCGGCGGGATCCGAAAACGTGGTCGAAATCAAAGACAAGGGATTTTGCTTTTTTTTTTTTCTGGACGGCTTTTGCAAACCGTCACTTGGGGTTAGGGAAGGAGGAGGAGGAGGAAGAGGAGGGCGGCCTGGTTGGCCGGCCGCCCGGTCGATCGTTCAGTCAGTCAGTCAGTCCGACGGTCGGTCGCTCCACAGCGGCCTCCGGCGGCTTTTCACGAGAGAACAGCACGGGCGTGAAAGGCGCACGCTCCCGAGAGGCGCTCGAGACGCGAAAAATCGCGCACAGCGGCCTCTCGCGCATCCTCGAAAACAAAAACTGCTCGAATACGTACCTCCTGGGATGTATTTCGCGGTTTCCACAATGAGCCCGGGTTGTTTTTTTTAATTGTATGCATTTAAGAACTTTTTTTAAAACAGTTTTGTTTGCATTTGAGAATATTTATGTGTGTTGTTCAGATGGATATTCGGTGCCTTTGGCACTGAGGATATATAGCATGTTAAAAAGTGTGTGGGAACTCTTTAAGTACTGTCTGTCAAATCTGATGGCAGTGCGTTCTTTAGAAGACAGCGGAGTCACAGTTTTCTTTATCGCATTCGTGATGCTTGAAATCTGAGGTTATATTTTGTTTACTTTATTTGAATTCGTTTATGTATCTCTGAGTGAAGATTGAAAGTCAACTTCTGACAAGAATCGGACTTCATAGATTTCTTTATTGGACATTATTAAAATGCAGGCTGCATTCTGCTCACGGGGATGCGAGAAAACAAATAAAAAGAGTGGAGCTGCGGTCAAATGATGCATAAAAAGATTGAGGCTATGGTCAAATAAATGAATGAATGATAAAAGCGCGACTGCTCAGAGTGCAGGGCAGGCAGCTAGGGACACCTGCTGTCATGGCCAAAAAAACGGAGCAGCCTACCAGGAATCCTCCTGATTAGCCAATCCGGGCCTGACCACAGTATCTACCACCATCAAATGTGTTTTGTGAGAGATTAGAAGTCATTGAAAAATTAATTTGTTCTTTGTTCTTTTGATATGGCTGTATATTGGCACTGGTGGGAGGCGTGCGTTGGCACGAGGCTGCAGGCCAAGTGCCTTAGTGCACCCACCAGTGTCGTTATACAGTCATATCGCACTGCTACAAGTGTGATATTGCGTTTATACAACAGTTTGACGGAATAATTGTGTATATAAAAACAAAATCAAACATGGAGAGTCTCAAAAACCCTTTTGTATGAGGAACTACTTTCTTCCGCATTAGATTCAAATCATAAGCTGACAGTTAAACAGCTAAGCAAGCATCTTTTAAACTTTAGATCTGTAGTGTCTGCTTTTTGCTGGCTGTATGTGGGCGGAGTAATATACACAAAGGGTAAAGAAGCTGTAGGAGTTCTGATATTGCAGAAAATCGCACGGCTATCAGCCAATCAGATTTGAGAACCAGACAGAACTGTTGTATAAATAAATAAATAAATATATATATATATATATATATATATATATATATATATATATATATATATATATATATATATATATATATATATATATATATATATATAT